TCTCTCTCTCTCTCTCTCTCTCTCTCTCTCTCTCTCTCTCTCTCTCTCTCTCTCTCTGTCTCTCTCATCCTCTAGCTTCCTGTGGAAGCCCGAGGGTCGGTCCTCCAGCTTCCTGGCGAAGCCCGGTGGTCGATCCTCCAGCTTCCTGGCGAAGCCCGAGGGTCGGTCCTCCATCTTCTTGGCCAAGCCCGATCCTCCTCTCTCTCTCTCTCTCTCTCTCTCTCTCTCTCTCTCTCTCTCTCTCTCTCTCTCTCTCTGTGTGTGCACCTTCCCTCTCTTTCTCTGTCTCTCTCTGGACCTTCCCTCTCTCTCTCTCTCTCTCTCTCTCTCTCTCTCTCTCTCTCTCTCTCTGTCTACCTGCACCTTCTCTCATCCTCTAGCTTCCTGGCGAAGCCCCAGGGTCGGTCCTCCAGCTTCCTGGCGAAGCCCGATGGTCGATCCTGCAGCTTCCTGGCGAAGCCCGATGGTCGACCTTCTTGGCTCCCTTGTGCTAATTCTTACTTCGTTCTCGTTGGTGTGTAAACCTTGTGCCGTATTGGCGAATGACTAGGGCCAACAAATGGAGTTCCTTCGTCGTCACAAACGTCCACCCCGAAGGTGGTCGGTAGAGCAGCAATGTTCCGTGGAATGGAATGGGCGATTGACTGGTACGGCGGGATTAAACAGCATGGTTGTGGGCCAGTTACTTTCCGTAAGGACGATGCTGGAAAGTTCTACGTATGTAGCGGAATCGACAGTTACGGCGTGGACAAATTTGCCGGTGAGAAAGGGTACTACGATTTCCACTTGACCACATGCTTCGACAGTGGAGGGATCGAGATGCCTGGTAATTACAAGAAAGTGTCGCTACATCTGTCGAGGTTTGCAGGCTTCGAAATAAACGATGCGTCGATGCCCCCGTTCGATAGGTCGAAGAAACTGAAGAGTGTTGCAATGGTGGGACCGATCGAGTTCGTGAAGAAAACAACATGGTATAAAGTCGCGGGCTTTAAAGTGAAGGTGAACAAAGATTTGGAGTTGTCGACACCCTTCGTGCCGATGGGCACTGCGAATGACGTGCTGACGGACATTCTTAGGACACACAAGCATGGGGAGTCTAGGCAAGGAACACTGCAATCCGCTCTTGCTGCTAGAATGCAAGTTGCTGAATGTGGCACAAGGGGGAAGAGTCTCACAATCTGGGAAGGTCAGCGCCAGTGAAAAATTTCATGTTCCTGAAGGTCCGGGCGCAGATGGTGGTGCTCAAGATCGGTGTTCACGTCGAAGGGAGAAAACCAAGAAAGCATCCAAAACTGATAAGACGTCATTTGTGTCTGGTTCTCGGTCGCGACTTCCTGCCGCAGCTTCGTCGTGTGACAATGATGACAACGATGAAGAGAAAACAGAAAGTGACAACCGCGATGTGCAATCGTCTGGCAACTGTTCTCCTGAAAGGAATGGTAGGGATGATGATGATGACAAACAGTCGGCTGGGAAGGGTGAGGGGGAAGGCAGTTCGAGCGATGATGACAGGGAGGAGAGTGAAGATGATGAGGAGCAGGGTAAGGATGAAAGTGAGGAGGACGAGGGAGAAGGGGAGGAGGGCGAGTATGAAGGCAACACACGGACCAATAATGGATTCTCTGCAAGATGGCATGTAAATAAAGACAACGGTAAGGAGAGCGAAGGGGATGACAGCAGTGGGGACAAAGAAGAGGACGGTGTCGGAATCGACACACAACCATCAACGAACTCTCGCAAAAGAAAAATGGAGGCAGGGAGATACGATGGAGGAGAGCAGCGTCAGACAGAGTTGCTTGGCCTAGGCGCATCTCACAACGCATTTGTGCAACACTTAGAAAGGGAATCTGAGAAATCTGCAAAAGGCAAGTGGGAGCGGGAACGACACACCAAGAAGGCGAAGGAGACAGTTAGGGTCGAGGGAACAAAAGAGGTCGCTGACTCTGGTGATGAAGGAGTTTGGGTTGATCCGAGGGACCACACCGTGAAAGACAGAAAGTTACCGTTGCCAACCTTCGACACCACAACATGTTTCTTCCTCGAATACAGTGATGATGGAAATGCAGTAGAACGACCTCAAGAGATATACGTCGACTGCATGAGAGTTTTGCCTTGCCCTGTCGGTGGGCGCGTGCAGTACAATCACAACCCGTTGAATGACATGTTGGTCGTTTCTATCATGAGAGCGATGGAGCTGCCAGAGAAGAAACGAGAGTGGGACAGGGCCACATGGATATTGGCCCCTGTAAGGAGGTGAATGTTAATGGTGAAAAACAGTGGGCGCGGGTGAGACCTGAGCATTTCCGCCCGGATCACGCACACACATACCATTGGTATGCGATTGGCGGACAGCACATGGCAGAGGCTTGTCGTAGACTGGTTGCAGCCAATTCGCCCGCTGCACAAAAAATGGGGTGTGCATTCATGGCATGCTCATGCTGTCTATTTCGACGACGACCATCTGGATGGCTATGCTCATATTTTGACTTTCGATAATACAAGGGAGACACGAGCTATCCCAGATTCATTCCGAGTGTCGGTGAAGAATATAAGAGACTTGTGGAGTGATATGGGGATGCCTTCAGGCGATTTGCAACACGCACCGTCGGAAGCAGGTAAAGAAGCCATGAGGGAGAACTATCAGAAGTTCATGCGCAAAGCGGTCCGACTGACTGCCGACGCAGAGCTTCGGAGTCAAACACTGAAGACGGCGTACAATACGAACTGGACAAACTTGGTGAGATCACACCTGACATTGGCAACAGTTGGAAACAAAGTATGGGGACTGCTAAACCGATTCTTTGACTCGTGGGAGGTAGGACTGTTGCCCGACAAGACAGGCGTGCCTCCAGTGGATCAGCAAGGAAAACAAGTCGCGATAGCAGGTCCAGGTCCATGTGCGCTTATAGTAAAAGGCAATAAGGAACTTGTGCACTACGTTCAATCGAACAAATCGCCTAATGGGTATTACGTCTGCATTAGAGATCCTCCGCAAAGTGCATTGAAGGTGTTTGGCGACTTGACTGCCAGGGAAAAGGAGATGGTGTTAGATAAGATATTGGACCGCCAGGTGGTTGTCACAACAGTTCGAACGTTCAACAAGAACTTGCTTAACATGGATGATATTCGGGTGGAAGTTCGGCGTGAGAGATACATGATACGCCTCTTCAATTATGTTGTTTTCAAGACGGAAGATCGCAAGGATGAGGAGTGGAATGATGCGTTCTTCAGCGGTTATTCACAAATAATGAAGAGATTTGGCCCATTGGGACTTACAAAGGAACAATGGGAGGAAAATAAGAGGAAGGCGCCATCCCACAAGGCCAAAGATGTGCCAAAACGTCTGGGTGGCATCGATAAGCCAAAGGTGGGGAAAGTAGGAGGGTACAAATTGACGCTCGTGAAATATACTGAGTGTCCATATTATCTGAAGGTGTTTATGCATGAAATGATCGGTGTCATTGATCAACTAAGGAACGAGTTGCGGCGCATAAGTGCGAACGCGCGACACATAATGTGGGATAGACATAAGGATCACACAACGTTTCTTCCCATTTGCTTGGCACCGTACGAGGCACTGCAACCATCAGAGGAAATCACACGTGCTGTCAAAAAGTTGAATTGTCGCGTTGCGGTCCTCGACATTTGCCCACGTAAGTCCACAACACCACAAGATTGGTCAGACAAGAGATTTGCTGAACTTCCGGAGATGATGAACACATTTTGTGGAACGGATTGGGTCATTATCATATTCTTAACGTTGAGATTTGAGCAAACAGTGTTGAAGAACGTGTTGCGGTGGGATCACGTGAAAGTGGTAACAGGTCGTTGGGAGAGATATTTCGGTAAGGACCAGTATGTTGTTTCGACTGACAATCTCCCATTGCGCCCTCTGGACTGCATGACCGTTGTCATGCATGCAACCGACAATGACTTTAAGAAGGTGACTGTGCAGCCTCCGAACCATGTCACCTGGTTTGACGATAATATGAAAGAGGAGTTGTTCGTGCAATGCACGAATGAACATGTTGGGATATCAAGCGACACAAAAGCCATATATGGGCAGTGAGAGAGAGAGCCGAAGAGAGTGAAGGATCTGTGCAAATGGTTTGCAAAGGAAGGCGAAGGTGTGTTGCTACTCGGGAATGTGCAGGCAGGGTCAGTGTGGGAGGTGTTGCGGTCAGGACACAATGTTGTTGCATGTGACGGCAGTTCCACAATCATCGATCACACGTCCACATTCCTCGATATCCAAGTCAACAAGCCGGAAAGTCATTGCCACTTCGAACGACCCAAGACGCCGCACCTTCTTGACAGAGACATGTATCTTAAGCTTGGCAAGAAGAGGGAATCATTGTGGAGATACTTGTTTTGTAATGCACCAACGACCCCTAAGGACATCGATTACATGCAAAGGAAAGTGTTTGCCATCCAACATGTCCAAGGGTACCACGGGGCTAAAAATGGTGCAATCAAAATATTCATAGGTCGGTGTGAGCGATTATGGTTCAAGAAAAAATAACAAAGATTGCGCGCCAAGGCATACGCCGACGAGATGGATGCGGGTGAGCACTTCGATGTACTTGACAGCGAGGAAGAAATGACACATGATGATATAGATCTGCCGATGCCGGGTGCTCAAGAAGAGGTCCACCAGACATTGGAGGGCATTGACGATCGTCAGCCAATTGAGTGGATAGAAACAAATGTCGTCCCAAGTCGGGAGAGCATTCGTGGTGGGGAATAGAGGTTGTACTGCATGAGAATGAAGCGGAGTGTAGCAAAAGATCTCCAGGGCCAAGATTGTGCATGTGATATGAGCAAGAACAACAACAATGATGGGTTGGAGCCACAAGCGACATCATCGAGAGGAAATGAACCACCGCTCCAATCAAAAGCCAAGGAAACTACTGTAAAATATCCAGGAATACTGACTGAGCTGGACACTGTATATGCAAGCATGGGCCTGTCGAAGCTCCCAAGAGACAAGTACTGTAATATGTCCCGAGAGGAGAATGCGCAGCCTGGCGGGATGGACAACAGCACAATCAAGTTCACACTTCCCCCCGAAGAGGACGAAAAATTGATGCCGGGGGATAAAATTTGGGAGGATATGAAGGAGTTCACCGGAGGCCGGCACTTCCTGAGCCACATTGGGACATTGGTTGAGACAGAAGATCACCAACGGGGCCATCATATATTATGGCACCTGACAGTTTTCGAGCCCTGCTTGTGGAACGGGAAATGGCACATCGCTCTGTTCATCGCTGGTGAGTGGAAATTGAGAAAGCGGCTATTGAAGAGCAAGTTTTTGGAGATCGCAAGGGAACAAGTTCGTATAAAAGTGCGGGAAGCCAACGATGGATCGGATTGTCTTGCACAACGGGCATATACCGACACACTTTTCGAGAAGCTGCGCAGGGAAAACTTGCTCGAGTACAGCACAAGCTTTTACGATCTTGATTCCAGCGTGTCAAACTGTCATGTCCAATGGAAGCTCACAAGTCACGAAGCGGTGCACGAGTTTGAAGGCGACATACATCTCGGTTGCAGTCAACAATTGGTAGAAGAAGGTGACTACGCTTCGACGAGTGGAGTGGGACTTCCACTCGTGATCACAGTGCAGAGTGATGACCACGCTCAGGAGAATGAGAAGATGGAGATTTATGTTGGTGACAGGGACGAAACAATAAGAGATACGACGCGGGCTGAAGATCAATCATTGCAGCATGCATCGCACCAAGAAGAATCTATGGTGGATAAAGAGTCGGCGGGACACTTTCTAACCATGACATCCCCTAAGGTCTGCACAGGATCGGGAACACAAATGGTCACAGAATCAAGCTTCATGCAAGGAACTGAGCTGACAAGACAAGAGACCTTGCCGCTGCAGGAGGGAAGAGAAGGTTTGGCAGGCGGCATTCCTGATTTGATGCTTGGGCTGCAGTCTGATAGCGACGCCTTGCGTGCTATGCAAGGACCGGAGGAAACATTCAAAGAAGGTGAAGTTAGTATGCAGCGGATTAGTGAGTCGCATCAAGAGGAAAAGCGCAAGAGGGCGGATGATGACGATGTCATTGACATCAGGACATAATCAGGTGAGCAGCGAGAGCATAGCGAGGACAGAGAGGGGAGACAGAATGAGAATGAGGAAGAGGAACACCGCCATGATATACAGCAAAAGAAGGATGAAATTAGCAATGAGAAGTCGAGGAAAGGGAACACCACAGATAATGTCGTGCCTAGACGTTCAGGGGGACCCGTTGCAAAGAAGATACGGCTTAACGACTGGTTTTGTTAATATAAGTAGTGTGTGTCTAGGTGTGGGTGGGTGGGTGTGTGTGGTGTGTGTGTGTGTGTGTGGGGGGGGGGGGGGGGGGGGGGGGGGGGGGGGGGGGGGGGGGGGGGGGGGGGGGGGGGGGGGGGGGGGGGGGGGGGGGGGGGAGCAGGGGCACGCAAAGAGAGCTATACTGTAATAACAGACACATTGTTCGATGTTTTATTTATATTAATTCGAGCTGGATCAGACGTTTGTATGTTTGTTGCCGCTCTGGCCTCTAGTTCGGTACATGTAAATGCTCAAGCACAAAAAAATTTCTCTCTCTCTCTCTCTCTCTCTCTCTCTCTCTCTCTCTCTCTCTCTCTCTCGCCAACTGACATTTTGTTAAAAACTGATATTTTTTCCTAAATTTCATTGCTCATTGGGTGAGGATGTGGTTATCTTGACTTGTCCATCTGATGTCCCTCAACGTAAAGTGTCGTCCACATATATCCAATGACCAGATCATCGGGTGTCGCCATGACACCCGATGATCTGATCATCCGACGTCATGGGGGCAGAAAAACACTAAAAAATGTTGTTTCTCTCTCTCTCTCTCTCTCTCTCTCTCTCTCTCTCTCTCTCCAACTGACATTTCGTTAAAAACTGATTTTTTTCCCTTAATTTCATTGCTCATTGGGTGAGAATGTGGTTATCTTGACTTGTCCATCTGATGTACCTCAACGTAAAGTTCCGTCCATATATATCCAATGACCAGATCATCGGGTGTCGCCATGACACCCGATGATCTGATCATCCGACGTCATGGTGGCAGAAAAACACTGAAAAATGTTGTTTTTTTGGTACGCTCAATTTCATGAATTTAGAAAGAAATGTCTGTTTTAACACTGAACCTTTAAAAAACATTACCTCATATACGTGCAGATTGTAATTGAATGAGATCACATGCTAGCAACAAGCAATTCCATTGTCATATGCAGTGGAACAGAGATCAGACGTCCAAGACGTACGCCGCTGTAAACACGGATGGACTATTCAATTAGTGACGCATGCTGTGACCGACGTCGAAGACGATGCCTTGCGACACTTGGAAACTAAGTTCAACAATTACGAAATATTGTCAAGCACGAAGAATCGAGGGACGCAAGAGGAGTTAAGGTTCACGTACCACGATTTGAGTGTACTCATGAGTGGCAAAAAATGGTTAACCGATGATATTATAAATTTCTACATGAATATGATAAAGGTCGACAATATATGTAAAACTACACATCACGAGTGCGATACGCCATCAAACAACTCCGCTGCGGATGAACACGGATTAATTCCAAAAACATTGATATTTAACTTCTTTTTTTTTTGAAGCTCTTGGATGAAAATTTCGGATACCACTATGACAACATTGGTAGGTGGTTCAAGGAGGTGGTGATCGCAAAAAAAGACATGATCTTAGCCCCATATCACAACATTCATAAGAAACATTGGACACTTGTTGTGGTGGATCTCAGGCGGAGAGTGATCGAGTATTACGACTCGATGGAACCAGTCGTAGAGGTAGCAAGAAAAATAGTCAACAACGTGGCGCGGTTTGTGAAGGAGAGGTCATCTGAACAGGGAATGGAAGTGGACGCCACTTGGTTCAAACAGAAATTGGAGGTGAACGACATCCCCAAACAGAAGGACGTAAATCAATGCGGAGTATTTGTGCTTGCATACGCGTCTCTTTTAGTCAGAGGTTATTTGCCACCGTTCGACTTCACAATGGAGGATGTAAGGCGCATTAGACACCGAATTGCACTGGACTGCGTAGCATCGAGGTAAAAAAAAAAAAAAAAAAAAAAAAAAAAATTATATAATTTTAGAGATGGAAAAGTTTTTTGTCACCGCCCGCCTTTGATCTGTAGGATATTGTAGATCATTACATGTCGGATTATTATGTATAGTTTTTTTTTTTTTTTTTTAAGTAGGACATGAGACTGATTATTTTTGAAACAATGTTGTACACAAGACACATGTAAGCATAAAAATGTAGTCCACATCTCACTAGCAGTCAGAATGAATTGAGACACCGAGTCGGTCTTGGTGGATGATCTGATAATGAAAGTGAAGTCATATGACCGCAACACATGTTTCCCCATTACAACACAGTTCTAAGACACGTGAAACGCGTTCTATGGTTTATGATGTTGGATGTATGGTTTATAATATATGGCATAGTATGGTCTATGATATACGATCTATAATCCACGATGCAGGCGATATAGAACGAGTCGGTCTTGGTGGATGATCTGATAATGAATGTGAAGTCATATGACAGCAGCACATGTCCCCCCATTACAACACAGTTCTAAGACACGTGAAACGCGTTCTATGATTTATGATGTTGGATGTATTGTTTATAATATACGGCATAGTATGATCTATGATATACGATCTATGATCCACAATGTAGGCAATATATAATCTAAGATATGTAAGAAATGATCTGTAACATTAAACCATCTGATATTTAATGTACGATATTATACCAAATGATGCATGATCTATGATCTATGATATATGAGATATAATCTATGATTTATGGTAATATATGGTATATGATGTATGCTGTATGATATATGATCTATGATATATATATGATATATGTATGATATATGTATGATATATTGTCTATGATATATGATCTATGTTTTACGATATATGATCTATGGTATATGAAATATGATATATGATTAATGATTTATAGTCTATGATATATGATCTATGATATGATTTATGACATATGATATATGATATATGATTTATGATCTATGATATATGATATATGATCTAGGATACATGATGTATGATGTATGATATATGATCTATCATGGGACCCTAATAACATATACGGTACACCTTCACAATATTCGGCACAAATTTAGCACCAAATTTGAGTGAAATTTGACTAAGTTCAATTTTGTGTTTTTAGAAAAAAATGTCAATTTTAACGAAATGTTAGTTCAAAGTAGTTATCCTAGCTACTGAAAGTATTCTTCTTGGGATCTCTTCACTTTCCATACAAGACTTATCACGGCTGACCAATTGTGTTTTGAGAATGTAAGTCCTTCCACAGGTGGAGATGGTATTCCAACGAAAGGTCTGAGATAGGTACTAAAGGAGAAACTCTCCCCCTCTCGTTCTAACCTTCTTTTCTCATTATGCACAAGGTCCGACGCTCGTTGCCAACACGCACCTTTTCTACATTCTTCAAATCTTTGTTTCGGCACATAAATCCCAATATCGTACTCATCAAGATCAATAAAATAACAGGTAAGAACATACAGACTGTCCCGTTCTCGCCCTGGTTTCTTTCTGGTCTCATACCTCACGATCTTATAGGGGATTACGACTTTACTCACTAAAGAATTGAGGGAATTTAGCAATTTATCTAATTCAACCTTGCTCAACCCTCCATGACCTCTTATCAGTCTAAGCTAGGGTTTCTCTCTTGAGGGCACATAGCGTTAACTCATTTGACTCTTTGGTTTCGTTTCACTCTCAGATCAAACTCATCCACCGTAGACCAATTTTCTCTTGACAAATTAACGTCGGGCAAGGGAGGAGCTGAAAATTCTTTAAGGACAATAAATCGAGTAGATTCAGTGAAGCATTTGTTTTCTTTCTCAAGTCTCTCTTTCTCTCTCATTACAACCTCTTCAGCACATCCCCAACATCTCTCATACACTGCTTCAGTACTTCTTTCTTTTGGGACATAAATTCTTACATCATACACATCCAGGTCTGTGAAATAAAATGTGAATACATATAATCATTCCTGCTCCCACCCGCTCTTGACCATCTCATATCTCACAACCTCATATGGAAACACATCTCTCTTACTCAGAGCATTCAGCGACCTTAGAAGACATTCGACCTTCTCTTGACTCGGGCCTGAACCACTCCCAAAGTTCTGTCTGATTTCCTCTGTTGAAGTCTTTTTACTTCTCATGACCACCAGTTTATTTATCTCACTTCAGTACCATGCTGATAATTGCTAGCCAATTAGTTCCATCACAGTAGTTGTCAGGTATAGGAGGGATCGAAACAATCTCGTATGTTACTGGCAAAATGCCCCATTCCATTTTCTTTTTGTGCTTGATTAAATCTGCCTTCTCATCATATAGAAATTAGATTGCAATTCCCCATAACGAGTTGAAGACATCACCATCGTCATAGTATCCCTTCTTGACATAAGGATGAATATTATAGATATCTCCCTCCAAGAAGCGAGCCAACACTATTCTGATGGCCGAATTGTCAGAACGGTAGACCCAACAATGCTCATACTGATAGGGAAATATCCCTTTAGTAGTTACTTTCGAGAGTTCTTTAAATCCATCAGAAGTTAGCATTCTTGATGAAGTCTCCGAGCTCTTGATTCTCTCTTTCCCTTCTCAATGTTCCAAGGATATCATAGACTCATGAGGCATACCTGAGATCAAGCCTGATTCTCTCCWGTCAGTAATATCAGTCTACTTCTCCAGTCYAGCRTGGTACCTGACACRAGGAAAGATAAAACTCAGTTAGCAACTAGACTTTCTCAARAGAATAATAACTCAAGAAAAGATTACAAAATGGGTGTAGGAAATTCAGAAATTGTCAACAGTTCTCAAGGCCTAATCACAGCTCAAAGCCGCTTGCTGACCCAGGCACGTTCCAGACACGAAAATTTTTCATGTCCCCGGGCAACGACACCATTTTTGTCGCACTTTTTCCAAGTCGGGCCACTTCAGGCGACTGGAAAACCAACAGGCTGTCACGTAGAATTTTGTAGATGATTGCAATAAATAAAATAAATTAAATAATGCAAATCCCTTCCTGTTGTGTGCGTTCGGCTTCGAGCGAGATCCTTCAATTGCGGTCATTTCCGGTCCCCGGTCTTAGAATTCTTTTATTTTGATTCGGAACAACAGAAAATCATGCAAATAAT